TATTAAAAAACCAGCATTTATATTCGAATATCTCGAGAATGGCTTGTTTCAATTCAATTGCACTGCTAGTGTCAGAATGGAATGACCTTTGCAATGATGCTTATACCCTATTTTTTGATAATTATCGAGGGTGGATAGTCATAAGTGGACCACCCAGTATATTCTTATTAATAGAAGGAGAAACAATACGAAAAAAATGAGCAATTACCACAAGGCACCATTCTCTGTTATCCGATTCAAGATTGCGTTTTGAAGTTACCAATATCTTCATTAGTTTTCGAGATACCAAGTGTTGTAAGCGTGAAATCTTTAGCCAATTCTACACACACTGATATGAAGAAATCCTCACAAAAAAAGGATAAAGAATGTCTGTGATAAATTGAACTATGTGATTCGATAAATTGCGAAACTGGTCTGAACAGAACCGGTAGATATCCCATTTAGATATTTTCGCTTCGTCCGCCTACAAGTCAAGTGTCGCAACAACAATTTGATTGGCTCTATTCCGTCCATACTATATCTAACCTTTCAAGATTCAATTATATATTATTGTCGTGTTTGTATGTCGCAAACAAAATGCAATTGTTGCTTTCAATTGAAAACGTTCGAGTCGCACCCGCTTGAACTTTTCGAGAGAATATAATCATTGAACACACAGTAGATCGGAACAGGCGATCAACTAAGTATACCTGACCTAGCTAATCTAGGCAACCCTATGATGATAACGACTGTAACATAAAATATATTGGTCAAACACGTAGAAGCACTGGCACAAGATTTGAAGAACATATCACTCACTCCAGATAATAATAGCTAGATGAATCAAGTGTTGCCCAATCCAATATATCCTTGAGACTAGTCACCCAATAGATATTTCTTCCCAAACAAAATAGAATAGAATAATTTAAATTTATTATGATTGACAAGAATACGTGTGTACAATTCGTCAAGATTAGAGCTAAAATACTCACAATTCGCTGATAGTAATGAATACTCCCAAATAATATGGGTTTAACAAAACTTTTAAAAGCAGTTTACGGAACAAAGTCAAAGAACTCACTGAGTAAAATATATTTGTAATGAGTAGATCTTTCAGGCTATTCCTGAATTTGAACAAACGATAGAGATTTGAACAATTACGAAAGTATTCACGTGATAATCATGATATCATTTGACGAATCAAGATTTTGGACTCATTGCTGGATCCAAACTGTCTGATCTGCACATTTTTTATCGCTGGCCACCCTGTATCAAAATAAATGGCAAAATCGCGTAATACGTTATCGAAAATATGTCTTACATCTCGAGAAGTGATAAATTGATGTTTTATTCAGAATCTGCAGGCTACTAATTATCATAAATATTTATAAAATTGTTTATTATAATAGGCGCCACTTCAACGGAGGTTAAATGACGAGTGATTATAGAAAAAAAATTACTGGAATGTTGGTCGATTCACAGCTGTTCTGTAAATTAAGCCATTACCCATTGAATTTGTTTATTCGATATAAGACATCTCAATTACAAGACGTTAATTCGGCAACACAGTCATAATAACAATGAAGAATTTTCTTCGAACTAGAGTGAAATTAGATTCATTACAAACGGGCAACAAAAACGGATTCAACACTTCGAGTAAAACCTTCAAATTGTTATTCAAACTTCCAACATTATCCATTATCGAAAATATGAAATCAAATTTCTGTTCACACACCACATTTGTATTTATAATCGACCCTAGAAATAACTTTTGTCAAGGTAATTTGAAGTAACCTAAATCCGGCCTTGAAGCCTCACTTCATAAGTTCTAGGACAAGTTCTAAAACAAGAAAACAACACTGTTGATTGCATAGCAATGTTGCTGATTACCAAACAAAGATAAAGCTCCTGATTGCCTAGCAACGCTCCTGATTGACTAGCACCACTGTTGATTACAAAGGAATGCTGCTGATTGTCCTGCACAGCTACTGATTGTCTAGCAGTGTTGCTGATGACTTAGCAAAACTACTTGATTGCCTAGCAAACGCTCCTGATTGACTAGCACCACTGTTGATTACAAAGGAATGCTGCTGATTGTCCTACACAGCTACTGATTGTCTAGCAGTGTTGCTGATGACTTAGCAAAACTACTGATTGCCTAGCAATGCTGCTGATTGACTAGCACCACTGTTGATTGCAAAGGAATGCTGCTGATTGTCTGCACAGCTATTGATTGTCTAGCAGCGTTGCTGATGACCAAGCAAAACTACTGATTGCCTAGCAACATTGTGTTTCTAGGGACGTTTCGGATTGCCTGGCAATGCTAATGAAAACACTGTTGATTGCTCAGCAATGCCGCTAATTGTATAAGCAAAATGATTGTTAGTCTTCTAGGAAGGATGCTGATTAGCTAGCAACGTTGTTGCTCTCATGTAACGCTCCGGATTACTGAGCAATGCAATTGAATGCCAATAGCAATGCTGTTGATTGCAGTGATTTCATTGCAATGCTGCTGATTGTTTAGCAAAGCTCCTGATTGCCTAGCAATGTTGCTGATTACCTAGCAAAGCAATGTTACTTTTCCTTATCCAGCACAGATGTCATGAAATATCACTATTCAATGAATTCGAAAAAAGTTTTTCTGAATTGCAGAAAAAATTAATTATTATACTTTTTCATAATCGACGAATGATACGGTTGGTGGTGAGAAAAAAGTTTCGATGCAGAATAAGTTATTTAAGCCGTGCTACATAGATGACATGTTTAGATTATGCAAACCACAAATCTATTTTCGATGTTACAAATTGATTTCAACTGTCTGTATCATCAGACCCAAAACATGACCTCTCGTATCGATATTGCAAATTTATCACTTAGGTCGTCATCGAGAACATCTAAATTTTGATCAAAATAACAGAATCACCTCGCGAATAACATCGAAGATAAATTAACTACAAAAAAAACGTAGTATCAGAACATCACACTACCATCAAATAATGTTCTCTGATGTTTGATGTATAGATGAAATTCTTCCTTTATAAATATTCAGTTCCAGATAAATGTAACAAACTATTTTCATAGATCCCCATGATGCTTGAAATTTGGTGTACAGGAAAATATGAAAAAATTCCTTATCACATGAATTCACGGGATTGTGACGATTGCATCGAAACATATGTATGTCAAACAAAAAGATTTCTCGAAACTAGGCACAAAGAACATTTTACACATCAAACTCATGGTTGATTGCCGGCGCTAAAAAATCTATTTACGAGTCGTAGAACGGTGTTCGATTGTCAGAAATAAAAATTCGTTAATATAGGCTCGTATAGTGCTCTTCAAAAATGTGGAGAAATCTGAAATAATAAAATTCTCAAGGCCCACTATTCGTTTGTTGAAGTGGAAGGGGTCAAAATTTCAGGACTATTAGGCATTTTTATCTGAAAAATTGGATACAGCCCATTCGATTCAGTCATAGTTGAAATACCTCCATACAAGATAACGCAAATTTCAATATTTTTGGTTTTTCAATTCACCCTGTAATGTATCAAAATCCAAGTAGTAGTCATTCAATGGAGGGACACGTCTACTTCGTTGCAATTTCTACAAGAAGATCTCTCTAGTTCAACAAAAAAATTAATGAAATTGAATTTGAAAGATTTTGCACTGAAATACATACAGATCAAAATAAGACTTTTTTTCTACAAAAATGTGTCCGCAAATGCTCTTCGCTCTTCGAGATATTCAGATTAAATTGGTTCATATGCTGAATTTTAGGATTCACATTATACAGTATGTCGACTGATTGTAGGAATCTACAGGAAGATATTTTTTCAGGGGTCAAGCGCTCATTCGCTTCATAAACCAACATCTCGAATATTCAATGCATTGAAGATCGACAAACGTCTCATTTTGTTGAGGCGTTGAAAAAAAGTGTAGTAAAACGGTGTTGTCTTATGCAGGGAAGTGCTTCGAATTTACAAAATTGCACTAGAACTTATGTAGGTCAAGAAAAAGGATCCCTAAAAACTAGAAAGAAGTATTGTGGTGTAAATGAACCATACGACTACTATGGTTTGATTGTCCACCGTGTATATGGTGACTCGTGGACCTCTCCGACCGTATTCGACACCAGAAAAGCCCGACTTGAGAGGTTAAAAATGTATTTCGAGTAGTGAAGCTGTGTTATGTCAGGTCATAAAGAAGAATGCTTCGAATTTTCTAAATCACGAGTGCAACAAAACATATGTAGTTCAAACAAGAAGATCCTTCGGGAGTAGATTGAAAGAACATATTGCACATTAAATGTATGGTATATTGACGAATCGAACATCCCGCATATTCAATGCATTGAAAATTGCCAGACTTCTTCGTATTCGAATTCACGAAATTACACTAAAACCTATGTAGGTCAAACAAGAAGATCCCTCGAAACTGGATTCAAAGAACATCTTGTCCATCAAATGGTATGATAGATCGACAAAATGAGTATTGAGGCGTTGAATAAACCATACGACTACTATGGTTTTCTCGTCCACCGTGTATACGGTGACTCGTGGACCTCTCCGATCGTATTCGACAACAGAAAAGCCCGACTTGAGAGGTTAAAAATTGATATCGAGTAGTAAAGCTGTGTTATGTCAGGTCATAAAGAAGAATGCTTCGAATTTACAAAATTGCAACAAAACATGTATGTAGGTCAAACAAGAAGATCCTTCGGAAGTAGATTGATAGAACATATTGCACATTGAATGTATGTAATATTAACGAGACGAACATCCCGCATATTCAATGCATTGAAAATTGACAAACTTCTAGTGTTGAGGCGTTGAAAAAACGTGTAGTAAAACGGTGTGGTCATATGAAGGAAAGTGCTTCGAATTCACGAAATTACACTAAAACCTATGTAGGTCAAACAATAAGATCCCTCAAAACTGGATTCAATGAACATCTTGTCCATCAAATGGTATGATAGATCGACAAAATGAGTATTGAGGCGTTAAATGAACCATACGATTACTATGGTTTTCTCGTCCACCGTGTATACGGTGACTCGTGGACCTCTCCGACCGTATTCGACACCAGAAAAGACCGGCTGGATGCGCGATAAAAGTCGGTTCGACCAGTTGCAACGCGGATCTGGTAAGACGGAGACGATGTCGTCTGCCTAGCTAGACCTTCTGGCGCGAGTTTACGAGTTTCGGCCTTAAACGGCGGTTCATCAGTATTTCGCGAAAGAAAACATTTTCCGTAAACGAGACGTTCGGTGATTTCGCGGTCCTGGTTCCAGTAGAGGGATAGTGGGAGACGAAATAGAGAAGCAAAAAGGAATCATGTCAAACTGATCGTGGGTTGAAGTGGATAAGAGGAAGAGATGTGGTTGAATACGGTGCTCCCTTTAGGAGGGTGGTTGTTCGTTTTTGCCCTTGCCACGGTAAGATTTTCATACTGAATGAAATAGAAAAATCTCAGTCAATATTTACACAATAATTTCAACATTGGCTTTTTTTAACTTCAAGAAGTATATTTAAATTTTTATGTTTGAGTAATAAGAAACGCATTGTTGATATATTTAATAATGATCAACTGTATATTCCTATTTTTCCTGACTAATTCTGATTCCAGAGAATATTGTCAAATATTGAAATGGATAATCTTCGAAAATGTGTACAAATCTGAAATATTAAGATTCTCAAGACCATCTATTATTTGATGAATGGTAAAAATATCGAAAACGATTATTAGGCAATTTTTTCCGGAAAAATGGATTTTTTTTTCGATTCAAGCATATCTGAAATAAGTAGAATGATAATGCAATATAGTTAGTTATTTAATGGCAAATTTTGCTGTTTTTACTTTTTCAATTCACTCTGTATCCTGTATCGATGTCTAAGAAGTTGATATAACCATTGAAGTATACTTAGATAACAACTTTCATCGTTGTAACTTCTACAGGGCGATCTTTCTTGACCAATCAAAAATTGATTACATTGATGTTGTAAAATTGTTTCCAGAAAATATAAATAATGTATCTGCTACGAGGAAATATTTTCATGGTATAACAATTTTTCAGTCATCTTGAATTTTCATTCCATTTCGCCAAAATCGGTAGGTAGGTATATCAGTATGCATCAAAGTAATAATATTCAGTATAATATCTCTCCTTCCAGTGTTTGGAGTGTTAATCTGTCATTATATTTTTGTCATATTCGACATATTTGACGGTTTTTTTGAGTTTTCAAAATGGAGAACCTCAAATTAGTTTTATTGATTTTTAGTTGACTAGAGACATCTTCCTGTAGATTCTCCTTTGAATTACCCCTCCACCGGTTATTTCAACTACTCAGATTTTGTGTAGGGGTATTTCAGCTGAATATTTCAAAATTCACAATTTCAAAGAGAGCTCGTTGGTACCGCGGCAGGTACTATACAGTATGATGCAAATGTATGGAATAAATTCATTATTTCAGAAATGGGCGACATTTCAAGAAATTCCAAAAACACGTGAGTTTTAATTTTTGAAACCTCATCTCATGACATTCATATGAAAGATGTTACGTCACCGGTGTTGGAGTAATGACGTAATGGACGGTTTTTTAAATACAAACAGGGGAACAGGGGTCATGTGACACCTCGTTTGAAAGGTCTACTGATCGTCTATCCAATAGTCAAAATTTTGCACAAGAAGATTGAAATTAAAATGGATTATCATTTGGTTAACTGAATCTTGCAGAGATCTTCTACTGAGAATTGAACATCGAAAGGTCGTCTAGTTGAAAAAATACATCGATAAAAAAGTTCTGAACTCTACTTTTTGGATTTTTTTCGGAAGTCGTCTTGTTTTGAAATGGATTTATTCCATACATTTGCATCATACTGTATAATAATTTTTGCTTTGGGAAACCGATCAACAAATTCCAAATTAGGAGGGTGCTTGTGTGTTGAAATCGCACACACTGTACGTACTTATTTCAATGTCACATTCGAGAATGAATTCCTCGAATTTTCACAGAATTTGTGGATTATTGATTCACCCTGTAAACGGCCCTCGGCCTATAATAACGCAAGCTCTCTCGATTCTCGGAAAAACGACCATCGGGGCCAAGCTGTCTGGTTCGTTCTCGACAGATGGAACAGCTTTTTCGAGAGCTTATGGCAAAGCTCTCGAGCTTTCAGCCACTCCATCTCCACCGCCTACGTCGATAATATGAAATAACGGTCCATATTGTTCGTTTGTTCTGACCTTTTCACTGCCGGTGTTTCTTGTTGTGTTGCCCGGGTTATTTATGATCTTTGTTCGGGAAGCAACTATTCATGTTATTATTTTTTGACAACCAATTGAATGTTATTCGAAGATCTGCCGAATTATTTTGAATTTCTTATCACTTTCCTCTATTATTGCTACAAATTGAGGCTAGATTGATGAATAGCTAAAAGCATAATTTATTTCTGCTACTGATATTTATTTTGATTCCCATAGTTACCATATCCCATCTCAAAAATCAAATTCTCAAACCAATTTTTCAACTTGATTTCGTTACAGAAAAATTAGTCAAGATGACTGAAAAAAATACCTGTATATATACAGTGACTTACATATGCGTGTATTCTGTATACACACAATTTGGAAAAAACGTATAAATAAACCAACCTCAAGAATGGTTATTTATTATTCGAGGCAAAAAAGTAGTAGATTTTAGCTCCAGGTTGTTTTGTCTCCCACGAAAAAAATAGTAGATTGTTTTAATAGGACCAAAAGTGACACTTTGTTTGACAAGCGAATTTTGCATTTGCGAGGCGGAGCGTTTAGCGAAGCCGAGCGATAGCAAAATTTGCGAGTCGAACAAAGTCACTTTTGATCCGAATGAAACATGCTATTTTTTCTGCAATTAACTCAAATAAACATGTAAAGTAACCACCAATGCCGTGCCATATGTATGCAATGCAACAAATATTGACAAATAATCCATGTGGTGAGAATATTCTACCTGCATTAACAGCAGGTTAGGTTTTCTAGGATGTTCGAATTGTAGTTTCAATATAAATACAACCACAGAGTGACATATTTGTGTATGGACCATCAGGTGCTCTAATGGCAAATACCGCGCCAGTGCCAGCTATAGGAACAAGACGTGGAAAATGTTAGGTTAGTGAGCATATCAACAATGATAATAGTGATTATTTATTCCTCTCCATACTGGCATACTACACTGTGTTCGACTTGATAATCAAATAGAGCTAAACAATATCGTTGTTTGAGACAAAAAAACTATTGCTTGCCGTGATTATTCAAAAACAATAAGTTATCCATCCCGAGAATAATGAATGAAATACAGATCAAGCAAGTATTTGAATCTTGAAGGCTTCCCTGATCAAAACAGAAATACTTAATTGAGATGTTTATGAATATGAATATGAATAAACTCGAAGTTTGTGAATAAACTCAAAGCTCGAAATTAAACCCTAACTTTTCTTGATTAGTTTATATTTCAGGCAAAGATCATCGCGCCTTCGGGGAGAAAGAGTTGCAAATTATATCGAGTTACGACGTACGTTATATACCGTAATAAACATGCTAACGTATTAAAGCGAATAAATTATATGTCACGGCCTGTTAACGTCTCTTCTTCTTGGTATCCTGAACTTTATTGCCTTATAAAGACACACATACAACACACAAACACTAAAACACACCACACGCATACGACTGCGACCACGCATGTCGTAAAAGACATGCGAAAATAATGTGAAAAAAAATACACCGCAAAAGGCAAGAACACTCATTTCTAGTAAAAAATACTAATACTCCAGTCGCTAGAGAGGCAAAAAGGACTGCAACCATACATTAAATCACCTGATTCTTTTATATGTTCTTCGGGATGGTAAGAGAGTGAAAACCCCATACCGTCCATACTGCGTTCTCTTCCAGAATTTCCCTTTCTTCCCAGGAAACCGAGCAGGAAACTAAGAACTCACGGCGCAGGCAGGTCAATGCTGTCAATGAAGACCTTGCTGAAATCACAGCCTGGGGAACCAACAACCTAGTTGAATTCAACGCCACCAAAACTCAAGCCTGTATTTTTCTCTAGAAAGGCGGAACTCAGTATGCCCGATATTGTAATGTCTGGCACCACCATCCCCACCAAGCCCATCATATCTATGCTCGGTATTTCCATCAGCAACACTCTTTCATGGGATAATCATGTCAGATCCATCGCAAAAGCTGCTTCACAAAAACTCGGATTCTTGGTCCATGCCAAAAGCTACTTTACACCTCAACAGCTTCTCATGATCTACAAAGCGCAGATTCGGCCTGTTCTAGAATACTGGTGCTCTTAGATTCCATCCAGAGAAGATCCATTCGCCTGGTGGGTGACGCCACACTCACTCACTCTTTGACATCATTGGAACACCGTAGAAAGATCGGCGACCTTTCACTTTTCTATCGATACTTTCACGGGAAATGTTCTTCCGAAATCTCTGCTATCATCCCTTCGCTAGCAATACCAGCCAGACGAACTAGACAAGCCCAGTCAGCACATCCTTTCGTTGTCAACCTCGAAAGATGTCGAACAGCACTTTATCAAAACTCCTTCATCCATAGAACGGCTAGCTCTGGAATTCATTGTCTGAGGAAGTATTCCCAACAACAAATAATCTCCGGAAGTTCAAAAAAAATTCCAATACCTACCTCCTGTCCCTATCCTCCCTAGGAACGAACGATGTCCTTTGAACATTATAGGATTTCCTTTCGTGCGCTCCAAGCGATAAAAAAAAACCTGAGTTTTCGTCATCTCCACCCCTCTGCGTCTTGAAAAATACACCCAAAAACAGCACGTTTTTCAGTTTTTTGTTTATAACTCCTAAACGACGCATGATTGCCAAATGCATCATATTCTTCTTGTAGAATATAAAATTCCCTACAAGAATCACTGGTTGACTTTGTTTGCACGACCAATAAGCAAAGGAAGTATAGAGCAACAAAAATGAATAAATTCACAATTCAAGAAAAATTGCCATTTTTTCGTCCATTTGGATCGCCCAAATTCTATGAAATACTGGTTTATAGTAAATAATATTAATATCAAATTAAATGTGAAGATGTTAGCTGTCTTTGAAAACGCCTCAAAATGTTTTTACCACCAATATCAAGGGTTGAGTAGTGTCAAACTAACGAGAAACCGGAATCATGAAATTTTTTGTCCAGTTGCCCAGAAGTGTTGCCCGGCTATTATTCGTCATAAAAAAAAATTATTGAGAATGTTTGAGATTTATATGGGTTCAAGATGTGGTCAGAAAAAATGTTCGTCTTTTAAATCATGGTGCTATAATAAACATGAAAACCGCGAGAATGTAGACATGAATAATCAAGTTGCAGTAAGATAAACAAAAGACGATCAGACACATCATTTCGACCAGTGATCCAATTTCGAGGAATTTTAATTTCTGGCGAAAAGTATCTTTATCGTTTTCAGAAATAACTATTCATAAATCTGTCTGCAACCACAATGTGACAATTGGTATAGATATAATACATTGATTTCATAAGTGAAAAAACAAAATTGAAACTAGAAAACAAATCTTTGAACCATGGAATCTCAATCATCACTCATTTTCTCAAATCGTTCGGTTATTGTCTTTTTCCTAACAAGTGCGTAAAGTGTTACTTTTCCACACGCAAATACTCGCGTCGTTCGTATAAGTTTTTGCGTACGGAAAATGCACTTATTCAATTGAAAAGGAACATTCTCAGATATATTCATGAACACAAAAAAATGGATATACAGGGTGTTTCATTGGGAAAGGTAAATAATTCAACTGTGGATAGGGGTCACTGGGGTGACTTCAAAAAACCCATGGTTGATGGGTCTTCGACTTCTTATAACCGAGATACAGGATGTTTCATCAATTTTGTCCATATCTTCATTGTCTCATATCTTTCCAACCAACCTGTATATATTTTTAAAAATTGGTACACTTGCTCAATCTAACCTGTGGAATTGATTGAGGCAACAACAAAAGATAAAATCCAGGTCCGGCTTCACTTAAAATTCACAAATTCTTTCTGTTAGAAAACAACACCCTATACATTCGAATTTCTCATTTTTTTTTGGCCATATCTGAATAGAACATCAAAATTTCTATTCAACGATGTGCTTTTTATTCGTGCACAGACGATTTTAACTATTCATATTATGTGCTCAAAATATTATTTTTGCTCATTTTGGGGTACAAAATTGGAATTGGTTGAATGTAGAACTAACTATATACAACAAATAATAATTACATAACAATAGGAAATATTGATAGAAAATTAGATCTGGTCAGTTCATTTAATAATTTAGCTCAGGACAGTATTCTTCAAATGGGCATGGGCAGTGAGATTTTTAGGTAGTTTTACTTAAAATTTTATCCGCACGCAAATGTAAGCAGAAAAGTACTACTTTGCGCACGGCCGTAGGATTTCTTTTTCATTTCCAATAACGGTACAACTGCTTCTTTAGTGACAAACCACATGCTGCAATCCTCTCGAATCACAAACGATCACAGTTACATCATATCAAATTACTCTCATAAAACCAGTCGAACTTTTTTCAAGTCAAGAAACCAGAGTCGCTAATATAATGGATGATAAATCATACTTAAACGTCTGAGCTTATTGCTCGTACATTATACCATTACCATAAGACAATTAATCATTCTATATTGTTCGTGTTCGCTAGCTGTGACCATACTATTTGCTATGACTATGCGAACAAATCAAAATTGATCTTCATCAATTCTTTCGAGATTGATGTCTTCCCACAACAGAAAAACTTAAATACAAAGAAAAAATAATACTCTCTGTTCTCTGTTTGAAATTAAGATAAAATTAAGACCTCCTCAATTACGAAGGATTCCTATCAAACTACATTCTCGTGGGAAATCACTATCATTTCGTGCTCGTTAAACAATATACTATTGTAGGTGTATTTGTTTGCCTAGAGCCAGAAGTCTGGGATGAATTTTTTTTATTTCACCCTGTATAAAAGGCGAAGTGTCATCCCATTTCTCGAAAAGAATGGCCGAACACGATTCCGACAGTGGAGTTAATAAAAGAGATGATCATCTAAGCAAGTGGGTGCCTGGGTGGAAGACCCCTGAAAGGGATCCGTGTATTATTGTTGAAGGATGACGTATAAGCTTGGGGGTAACAGGGGCAGATGTCATCGTCCCGATATGGACAATGATATTTGTCAAATAACTTATTATGGTGTTATCAGATGCTACACTTGTGGATTGACGTTGTATAAGACTATTTCAGTCTGATTAGTAATTGGGTATTGGGACCTAGTGATGTTTGACAGATTGAAACTGATATACAGCCTCAAATTGTCCAAAACTGCTATTTGCTTATCCTCTGGAATTGGGCTAGAAAATTAATTGAAAAGCCTCAAAAAATATTTTCTTTGAGGTCGCGCTGTGTTCAGAGACAATGGAAGAAAACTCGAAATCTTACAGTTACATCTTAAAGATGTCATGTCACAGATGTGTCTGCTTCTGTATTTCGCAGCGATGAAACATTCGTAATATCTCAGAGTTGCCTCATCATGACATCTCAGAGATGTCATGTCGCAAATGTGTTTACTTATGAACATCGCTGCGATGGAACGTTTGTAATATTGCACTGTTACCTAAACGCGACATCTCAGAGATGTCATGTCACAGATGTTGTTAGCTGGAAAGTGTTCAGAAAGACATGCATCTAGCTATACCAATCCTATATGTGACTCTCTGAAATCCCAAGACTTATTGAACCTTCTTCCTAAAAAGTAGACTTTTCGGAAAATTCCTCAAGTGATTAATCTAATTAATAACGAAGTTAGTTCCTTGTAGGGACAGAATCCGGGCTACCGACGTGGTAGTCGGATACACAGTTCACTGTGCTATTCGCTTACTTGAAGAATGTTACTATGAAGAAAAAAGAAATATCGCGTGTTGTGAGTGACGTCACGTATGCACGGGATTTCAGAGCCACAGATGAAATTGGTGTCAGTAGCCCATAGCACTCGACGTCTTGGGGACGTCCCTTTCAGGTCCGATTTAGGTCTGAACGTCCAGGACCTTTTCAAGACGTACTGAAAACATCCATTTCTAGGCGTACTGGGTACGTACGATTCCGATGTACTGAGTACGTCCAACTCTGAACGTTATCGACTTTTTGTGGACGGAATTGGATAAATCGTATAATGATATATTTGGAATCATTGCATATAATTTCTACCCTCGATCTCCGATATCTATTGCAAAAATGGACATGAAACAATTCTCACAATTCATTTTTTACTGGCTGTACAGGGTGGGCAAAATTGGGCGTTTTCACCGTCTATCTCAATAACTAGAGGAGTTATCGAAAAACCGATATACATGTTCCGGGTTCGATTTTGGAGAAACCTCGAATGGCACAAACAAAATTTAGATATCTTCATTCGTTTAAGAGATACAGGGGAAAATTGAAAATTTGCCGATTTCGATTTTATTTTCTGACTACTTCACGGTGAGAGGTATC